GTTTGAGAAAGAAAAAGAGAGAAACCGCGATTAAAAAGAGAACGTACATATAGGGTACTCATTTGAACAAAAAGAAATATTGGACCTACAACGCGGCCCAAACTGATTCTTCCGAATTAGGAGGATCACTAAAACGGTGTTACGAGTGTAACAATAATATCGAACTTGGTAATTGACACGTTGATCCAGCATAACGATAAATTTAACTTATACGATTCAATATCGATATACAGTCAGAACTCTCAAAGTGTAACCCCTCTAAGTGCAATTATTCTCTAAATACACGTGCTAATTTGGTCCCAACCTATAAGACATATATGTATTTTTACCTCTATGAATGCAATACTCTCTAAGTGCAAATATTAGTATGGTCCCGACGAGTTGCACTTAGGGAGGTCTGACTGTAATTGATGCAATTATTATTTGAGGAAGCTTAAAAAAGGAGATCGTATTAAACAATGGTGATTTCAAATTGTAACATATGATTGCTTTCACTTGTCTTATTTTAGGGTGAAGGAGAAATCTTCAAACGACGTTTTCAGGTTGAGGAAGGATGAATATACTTTTCTCGTTACTTTCTGTGTCAGTGATCTACTACTTTTTTCCAAAAGTCGTGATCTGAGAAATTTGAGATTCAATATCTATGATGATAATGGACTGTAATTTTTGAAAAATAAATATTTACCTTCATTTGAAATATATAAACTGACACTTGACATTTCTTGATATGAATTTAATTAATATGAAACATCAATGTAATTTATATTTAGAACCAAAAGTACCGTATCAGTTAGAATTTATATTGATTTTGAAGTAAACATTCAACTGGTGTAAATTGCATATGAGTGGATTTCTTGGTTTTTTTTTGTTTTCATAGGAATGCTTTTTGTAATTCTATCTTCTTATCAAGTTCCATCAATTCTTGCTTTTCTAGTTTAATAAACTTAATAATTTCTTTGCATGTCTTAGAGATTCTAAAAAGTCATTGTTACAATCAGACTTTTAATAGATATTATTATAACATAAATATTCAACCAATATATAATGATGGTAATTTTACAGTTACTCAATTTCATTATAATTAGTATACTTTAAAATCACTATGCAGTGTGTTTTCTTTTATCAGTTAGATAGACTCTCACTATTACTAATAAATATTATGTTTACTTAATGTGGAACAGTTCTATAGCAATATAGTATTGATATTTTATAGCAACTTGATAATTGTTTAATAGTGCACAATAAATATAGATTTTTAATATAAGATTATTATTTATTATTTAAAATTAATTAATGTATAAATTTTATTAATAATAAATAATAAATAATTTATTGACTAACTAAATTTTTGTGGTAATTAATTAATTATAATTTTTTTGTATTGAATTTAATTAACTATAACTTGCTTTTTTATAACTACAAGATTAACTATATTGTTACTGTTAGTAGTCTTTACAAATAAAGATATTTACTAGAACAGTAGGCAGTGACTGCATCATGTGAAAAAGCATGAAGGAATAAGCAATATGTAAAATAATCTTCTAATACTATTATTTGTTAGCTAAAACGCTAAAAAATTCACAAGTTCACAAAGAATCTTTAAAAATAAAGTATATTTTTATAAGAATAAAATAAGTTCACCAAGAACTAAATGAATTCATCAAGAATTCAAAGTATTTTATAAAGGATTTTTAAGAAAGATAGAATACAAAAGTTCTTTAATAATTTAACGAATACTTCACCAAAAAGTAATTTAGATTCACCAAGAATCTGTTTTATTAATCAAGAAAAGAAAACACAAAGTAATCAATTCTTTTGACAAACACACAGTAAGTCAGTTATTAGATTTTAAAAGATAAAAGCAAAGAAACTTATTTTTCTATCTTGCTCTCTTTTCTAGCTAAGATATATGCTATTTTTATAATAAATATTCATTACTCAATCTTCTTAATCTAGAACTAATTTATTCTATTTAGAATGAGACATAATCTTTTGCTTGAGTGTAATTAATTTACTATGAATTACTATTAAGTTAATTTGATTCTTGAAGATCGATAACATGTGTTTTTCATACTAATAATAATAATATGAAAATAATACTAAAAACAAATAGTATGAATTAAAAATGAATAATATGAAATATAAATGATATAAAATATAATAGTATAAAATATAAAAGATATAAGATAAAATAGTATGAAATATAATGAAATTAGAATAAATATTATGAAATCTAAAGGATTAGTATAAATTAAAAAGAGTCATAATTTGTAAATCATATATTTACTAACTATTTAATAGAAATATACTATAAATAACATGATATATTTTATATTAGGTGCTAAATTTATCACATAGTGACAATGTATAATATGTGATTTTGATATGTGATTTCTATATGTAACTTGTACATGTGATTTTACATGTGAATTATTAATTATTATTACTTATTAATTATTATTATAACTTTTATAATTTATAATTTCTTATAATTTATCTGAATTTATCATGATTGACCAGAATTTACTATAATTGATTAGAAATTATCTAATTTTATCTTTAATTATCCTTTATTATCCATTATTATTCATATTTAACTATTATTAACTGTAATTGACTATAATTAACTGTACTTAATTGTAATTAACTATTCAATAATTTTGTATCAAAAAATATATAAATATAATTGATCTTGTAGCTGTAGAAAGTCAAGTTGTAATCAATTAGATCCAATATAATAAAGTTATAACAATTAATTCAATTAATAACTTAAATAAAATACTTGAATAATACTATACTTGAATAATATTATTACACTTTGTATTTATTAAATATAACAAAATTATTTTATATGCACTAATATTATCTTGATAATATTATATATATATTTATTATATTTTGATTTATAACTTTTATATCGCTAAGAATATAAAATACACTTAGAATTTAATTACACTAAAAAGATTCACAACATCTTTTAGTAATAATAATAAAATAATGCATATTCGTTAGCAAACAAATACATGTTATGACTAAGTTTAACTATCTTGGCATAACAATACACAATTCCTAAAAACTCACTCATAACATTGATTACTAGACATCAAGATCTTATATCCTAAAGTGATTGTTTTATTTTTGTTAAGATCAAAAAAATGATATCTTGATGTCTAGTGATCAAATTTGAACAAAATACTACCATTTGATTCATCTCAACTAGACAAATCAAATGACATTATTTTTGTTCAAATCCAATTACTGGATGTTAATGATTATAAAACACCTGATGTAGAAATTCTACCAACTTTAAAAGGAGTAGATGATCAGCATTTATGTTATTCTTTGTTTTTAGAAATTTTTAGGATGAAACGCATGATCTATAAAAATACAATTATTTACTAAATATCCTAATTAATTATCGTTATCGTTATATAAAAATTATGTCAATTCTTAAATTTAATTAAATGCTTTTCATTTAAAATAATAGGTATCTCTAGTGATGTTAAATAATATGTCCAGTTCGGTCCGGTTCCAAGACCGAAAGAGATCGTCTTGGACTTAATCCATAAAATTGTTAGCTTTATCAGATCCTGAATTGTAATTCTTCAAATGAGTTCATCCAATGTTATTGCAAATACAGCAATTTAATTGGTCAGGACATGTGTCCCGACTAATTAAATTGCTGGATTTGTGTTCAAGTGACAACACTAACAGTTCACCCAATCAAATTAATTAAGCTATATATGTTATACGTTATATGTATACTATATACCGTAAAGCGCTCTTTATAATATCCCCCCTTGTAAAAATTTGAACCACAATTTGGTTCAATTTTTTTTTAGTAAATTCAATTATTTTTTATGTAAATAATTAAATTAGATTTCACTATGCGATTTTTTAAGAAATTTAGTTATTGGTTTAACAGTCTTGAGGTTAAATTGAGGTTTAAATTTTATACAAAGGGGGATACTATACAGAGCGCTTTACGGTAATATAAATCACAATCATATAGATAACAATAAATCGTGAAACTAATAAAGGTTATTTCTTTTAGAGGTAAATATTTATTATATTTCTTTAGAGATAAATGTTTATTCTATTTCTTTATACTACCTTTGTTATTTAAATAATTGAGTCGTGTTGTGAGTTTAACTTATTTAAGGCATGCTACGTTTATTATGATTCTTTGTTTCGTAAGTTATTAATAGACAATGGCAAATCCCAAAACTTATAAAAGGACTCGATCCTGGGATCGCAGTCCTATGGTAAAATCGCATGATTTAAGGATCGAATTTGAACTGTCCTTGAAAGGATCGGATGGGACCCGATCCTAACATCTCTAGGTATCTCTATATACCGGTAAACTTTCATTTCATATTGAACATTTTTAATTATAGGGCAATTGCAGATTCCGGAATGACAAAAACACAGTAAATTCGTCCCAAATTTACCTATCTATGTAAATAATGCGCGTTAGTCATATTATATATTGTATACCTTGATAAATAGAATTTATTCATTTAAGATCACGTGCGGGTGAATTTTTCGAACATTCCCAGCCTCTAATAATGGTTATATAGAATATCAGTATGGTATGGATAACGGATTGGTGATCAAATGTCATACTATGGATAACACATACTACTCATACTACTGGTAGGGTTATCGTTATAGCATAACGATAACAATAACGATAAACTGTACTATGCTTTAAATCTTTTAAAATAACCTGTATTCCGAACTCAATCCATACCCTAACCCTTTTCAAATATAGTTCATGAAATAGCACAGTACATGTAGTTTTCTCTAACTAACCATATACAGTATTATCGTATCGGTATACATTTATACACGTAATGCAACCATACTGATACTATACTGATATTCGCATTACCCTCTAATCTATCCTGTCAAATTTAATAAAAAATAAGTTTTTCAACCCACAAACGTAATACTATACAAATTGATACTAAAACAGATAAAAATATTTTTCTAAATCTTCAAAATTTTGGATTTCGCTGAATACACATGCCTAAAAGCAAAAGCAAAAGGTCGAGTTTAGGAAAATAAAGTAAAAGGAGATGTGTATAAGTGTATATTTTCTTTTAGATTGTACTTACAACTGTTACCATTGTTAAAGTCGGCCTGAAAATATTGAAAAGCACATATTATATCACGACAATACTTGGCATACGCAACGCGTTGTTGTGCGGAGAGAGTCATTTGTGCATGTATTGCTACGCCTGATGTTCCGGGTACACTCACAGTACTGTCAACTTTAGACGTGTCAGCTATGCTAGTATTATTAGAATTATCGCTGTTAGAAGGTGTAGCATCAGCAGCTTTTTGTAAATTAGGTATTATTGTATCAGCTGGCGGTATATTTTTTGGAGTATCATCCAAAGATTCTACAGAGGTTATTGCCAAAATTTGGAAATTTATAAAGAACACTAGGAGAGTTAGAACTAGAGACATTGATATGCCACTAACTAAAGCACGCCAGAATAACATTTTAATGAGCGATTGATAAAAATAAGGATTATTTGCAAAGTTCAATAACAACTCAGTTCTCCGTCGCAGACGTTTTTTGTGTATATGATAAAGAACTTGTAGCGTGTTAAAGATAACACACCATCTATTTATATCTTTATTTAAAGCCGGTAATTTAATGGTTCGAACTGGTTGGTTTATTAATTTGTTAAGTTATTATGAATTATCTTTGGTATTCGGGCTATGAAACTCCATTATAGATATTGAAACGTATACAGAAAATGAAAATCAGTTTTGGGCATAGTTCTCAAAAAGGCAATTAATTCCCGATCTGAAATCATATCAATATATTTTTTGACGGAAATCTATCGCTATGCATACTAATTAATGTTAATGTGTTTCGCGTTGATTTCGGAAAAAATAGCGTGCATAATTAATTCTCAGAGTAAAAAGCTTCAAGTTCTTCTTTGACCTTTCAATTTTTGATCCGGATTCCAAGAAAATCACTAGAAGTCATACATTTATACTAGCGATTAAGAATAATTGAATATTTTTTATTGCACTACGCATTGGTCGATAAATATTGTTAGAAAAGTTGCTTTATATGCATCAATTTTGCTCATTCTGGTCATGCAGCAACCGATAAAATATGATGCGAAAGTATCAAATCAGTGAATCATGAATCATGATTAACCTTGCAAAATTCAAGTGGATAGGAATGATCAAGATGCATTTAAAATATTTATGCGAAATCAGTATAAGATTAATATTTCAAATGCTATAAATTCCAGTACTACACTAGTCATTTTAGCTCCATCAGAATTCAAAAATATCTTAAAAAAAATGCATACTTTCTCTGTACTCTTAACTTTTTTTTTCGTGATCACGATGACAACAATGACGACATCATCTAAAGACGATGCACAATGTCCTGCTCGTAGATCTGCGACAAATAATCCTAATTACTACAGTAGTTCTCCGCAATATTATCGCAAACCCACTGCATCTCATTATGAAGATGGAAAGAGAACGCGTCGAAATGCTGCTCCGAACTCAGGATCGACCATCAATCATAATCAGCCTTCATCGACGTTTGTGAGACGTAAATTCCTTGAAAATATGTTCCCGCCACCACCAAAATGTAAAGATGAGTGTGTTATTTGCGCTTATTCTCAATATCCACCATCATGTCCTAAATGCTATCCAGCTTATTATCCTCCGCCTTGTTCTTGCTATCAAGAGGAATATAATGATGTTCCCGCTTACCCACCTTATCCACCGCCATGTCCTTGCCCTGAATGTTATCCATATGACAACTAAAGTAAAATTGATTATTTTAGCAATAATGATAATGATAACTTTTTAATATAGATTATTAATTGTATAATAATTAGTAATTGTCGTACAAAATATATTGAGGTAAACCAATTAGTTATATATTATTAAATTTAATTCTCGCTCATCTTTGGGGGGTTGGCGCAATGGCAGCGCGTCCGCCTCCAGAGCGGAAGGCTGGGTGTTCAAGTCACTCACTCCCCACTTACCCCTAAAGAAATGCTTTTGGAAGAAGAAATTTAACCCTAATCGAAGTCTAACTTGATAAAGTAACCCATGCACATTTTTAATTCGACGATCCAAAGATAAACAAACATGCATTGTTTTGAGTAACTCAAATTCAAAAATTTGTTTGGGGATTTAGTAAGTGATTATTATGGAGGATGTTCCTTTCGACTATCAAATACTGAAAAGACCAGTTGCTAGTAACTCGAACCACGCGCGATCTAATAAAAAGCAAGTTAATCCTGGAACAAAAGATAATAACAGTAACAGCAAGAATAAAAATAGCAGTAACAAAAGCTACATTCACACCATTAATAATAATAATAATAATAATAATAATAATAATAATAATAATAATAATATGCCAATAGAAAAATCTTCAAAGTTTGAAGATAGACTTCAAGCATATAAAAACTTGAAGAAACAAGAAGAACAGGAGGAGGCAGAAGAAGACATCGAAAGTGATTGGGTATTTGATTCTGAGACGGGTTACTACTACAGCGTTTCTATGAAAAAGTATGCTGTGTGGAATTCGGAAGCACTTGCCTGGAACTATTTTGAATCTAGTGGAGTCGAAAACTCGATCACAAGTAGACACGATAAAGAAAATAAAAAAAAACAGCATATGTCAAAAAGAATAAATGAACACGCTGATAATTATACAAAAAGGGCATTGGAATGCTCAGAAGAGCAGCAAATATTAGAATCGGATGATTTATGGCACACCGACGAGATTTCAGATAAATCGGATTATTCTTCAAGAAAAGTTGGTGATACCTCAGAAAAATCCAAAAACAAAAAAAATATGGATGATGACGACGATGAAGACGATGACGATGACGATGATAATTCATCTTCAGCCTTTCAGCCACCAACTGATTATGTTCCTACAGAAGATAGCCGCTACTATTTTAATCCAAAGAACAATGTGTGGTTTGATATTGAAACTGGTGTATATTCTATTTATGATTCGGTAGCGAAAATTTATATTCCCGTAGATCCGGAAGCATCGTCATTTTATAATTCGTTATCGCCAGCACCTACTAATAACGAAGAAGCTATGATTGATGAACTGGGGGAACCGGGAAGTGATGCAACACTTAGATTAGTTGTATTACAATCAGATGTATTGAAAGTCGGAAATCTCATAATCGTTGATGGAAATGGAATTTCGATAGGACGTGATAGATGGGACGATAGACGTTTGAGATTGCCCGAATTACGTACGTCAAAACATCATTGTCAAATATTTTGTTCATCCGCTGCCGCAATATCATCTTCCACAATAAGTACTCCTAATCTCGAACATTCAGTCGCCGCTAACGATGATAAAAGTGAAGCGGACTCTTCGAATACCATTAATTTTAAGGATGCATTCTATATAATTGATAGTGGATCTCAGAATGGAACTTTTGTCAATTCAAATCGATTATCCGAGAGTAAAATGAGTTCAAAACCTCAAATATTATCACATATGGATGAAATCATAGTGGGAAGTACTACTTTTCAAGTCCATTTGCATAAACAGTGGACATGTGAAGCATGCACAGTTACCGAAGGAAAAGTGATTGAAATATCGAAAAATGATAACAATAACATTGCAAGTACAAGTTCATGTGAGCAATCAGAAATAACAGTCGCAGTTAAATTTAATGGAAATATTAATATAAATAATAATCTGATATCATCCCAACGAGAGCTTTTAGAATTGCAACGTCGACAAGAATTAACACGACTAAAACGTAAATATATTGGAAGTTATAAGGACAATGAGGATGATAACTCCGGTACTGACAATAATGCGAAATATATTGATCGTGCGGCATTACGACGAGAGATTCGACCCGATAACACCCCAGTAAAGAAACTGAATTCACTTGATGAAGATCTTGATTCCTTTCCCACGCAGTCTTCTCAAAATAAAAGACTGGGCTCAGAAAATAAGGGTAATATGTTATTACAAAAAATGGGTTGGAAGGAAGGCCAAGGATTAGGCCGAGCTGGCGGAGGAATAGTTAATCCAATAGATGTGTTGACTAATGATGGGCGTCGCGGACTTGGTTCAGGTGGAATAAAAAAGGCCATCTCTGGAAATAATGTAAATAATTCCCATGATGGCAAAGAAACATTGCAGGAAGCAACTCGAAGAATTGCGCGAGAGCGATTCATGGATATGTTTGAGTGATTGAATCACACAGTCAGCAATCATTAATCATGCCAAAAAATCAAACCTGATTAAAACCATTGTGGCCTAATCTACAAAAAGGCTTCTGAGCATTAATTGATTGTCATTCGACATTAATTATCTTTTAGCAAAATTCGATTTTTGCATCATTATGGTTTGAAATATATAACCAAAAGTACTTGCTTCTTTTTTCTAAATTCATCCTCAATTCGAAGATAATAAACACAATTATATTTAATATAATACTAATTCTCTTTTTTCACACGATTCAGATCTGCCACGAAATTGGTCAAGATCAGATTCATTCATACACTGTTATAGCAATTTAAATAGATATACATAATTTATTTTTCATTTGTATTATTATACAGTCAAAGTTCTCTAACGAATTTGTATATAGCAAACATTTTGGTATAGTGAAGAAATTTCATGATTCAAATATATATTACACATAAGCTCGGCCTTCTGAAGAATATCGAATCAGCATTATAGCCTAAATCTTTCCAAATATCACCAGTCTGTCAAAAGTTTCATTAATTTCTATTAATGCCAGCACCTAAATTAATTAATACTATTAATTTATATAAAATAACTTTAAATTGCGAATATAAAAAGTAAGTTAATAAATAAATATCATTAGCAAATTCTTTAAATCTATAAAATATATAAATAAGCTTAGATATATATTTAATATAAATAAAATAAAGTAAACAAATTATTATTATTTATTAAAAACTAATATAATAATTTCAAAATTTTTGATAATTCTCAAATGGAAGATTTTTAATATTACTACAATTTAATTAAATGAATATAACAATTAATCATTATAGTATTTTTATTTTTTGATAGAAATATGAATTAGTTTTAATATTTTAGCTAATATTTATATATTTTCAAAATAATTATAATATCACAAAATAATTTTAATTATTTATCTTTTTATTTTAAAAAATTGTTAATAAAAAATAAAACTAATTTCAAATTATTTATTTTAATTTAATTTTATATATAGTATATTCAATTTAATTATATCGAATATTTTGAATTGCAAAGAATTTTTATATAAATTTTAAATATAAAAAAAATATATTATTTAATAATTTTTAATAAGTATTATTAAGTTTTATATAGTAATAATCAAAAATAATACAACAATATTAAAATTTATTAATTAAATATAATAAAATATAGGTTTTTCTCTTTATATAAAAGTTTTTAATTTTATTAATAAATATTTTTTATTTTTATATTAAAATAAAAATAATATTACATATTTTAACATATATTTTTTTTAGATTTTTTAGATTTAATCTAATAAAGTTGTTCTTTTAATT